TAAATTTAATAATAAAATATAATGTATAATGTAAATCAAATCTGATTTTCCAATCTTTTATGAAAATTATCAAGATCTTATAATAAAACAAATACTGAATGCAAGATAATACAACTTGTATCAGCTAAAGGTCAATGTTTCACTGAAATGATTCAAAATTTTAAACAAAATCAATACATGAATATAACACTATTATTTGACATAAACATTTTTAATTATAATAATATTTAATATTAATAAATGAATATTGCTAATTAATTGAAAGAAAGCATACAACATAAGTATTAAACCAAGGTAAAATAAAAGATTCATTTTCTGGACTATATCATGATTTTGTTTTTCTCATCGTAAAAGTTTGTATTATATACTGAAAAAGAGGACATGATGTAACGTGATGTACTAAGTTTATATTCTTACTTTTGCTCAATTGTTTCAGGCCCTTCGTGTTTCGTGGTACTACTGGTACTTGCGTTCTGTTCTACTTCCATTATATGAAATGATTAAAAATGGTTTTATCGTATTATGCTAAAGATTCTTTCTGTTTTCTTAAATACAATTTTCGTAACGTCAGTATTATTCACGTCAATTTACATGCAAGCTTGTATGTTCCGTCCACGAATTTTAGTCCGTTTTTTAGTTGTTTTTGGCTTGACCGGCAGGGATTCCTAACCAAACTCCTGATATGCTGGTATCATCGTCAGTGGCGCCGCCAGAAATGCGGAACTCATATTCAATATGTTAAAATCAATATGAATGTTTATCTTTGATCATTATTGATCTTTCTTGGTCATCCTTGATGAGACCAATAAATTAATTTGATAACATGTGATAATGTCGACAAGTGTTGACGAATATTCGAAGTGTGATTCAGTGTGGCTGATCATTCGAGTGTCAATGTATCATAATTTATCGTGTTATTTAAAGATTTTGTATAAATTGCTCACAGTTTACATTTCATTAATATCAGATTTGAGATTTGTGTAAAAGATGCTTATTGTCTAATATAAATTAAATAAAGTTGATTGCTTATTGTCATAAAAAAATGTATTAAATGATTCATTGATTTAATAAAAGTGATATTGATACTCTGAGTGAATCATTTATGATATATGAAATGTATATACACAACACAAATTATCCTATAGAGAAAATAAAAAACAGAACACAAGGGTAAAGGACAAATTTTTTTGATCGCAATGGTGCGAGCATGTTGTTCCAGAATGTTCTTCGGGAAAAAACATTCCATCTCATATGTTCCCAAGGATTGCCACAAGAAATGATTTGAAAAATTGAACATGAAATCAATAGAAAACGAAAATGAAAAGTTAAGAATTTGCTGTAAGCATTTTTCTGATGAAGATTACAATGGTTCTTCATCAGAAGAGTTTTATTATATGGTGCAATTCCATCTCTAAATATACCATATATACATAGTTGATATGAATATCAAACATGGTGAACAAATACTAATGACGAACAGCAGACATTGCACAACTGTATAATGCAACAAGAGAACAATCGAAAAGTATTGGCCCAACATAGTACACAATTTCAAAAGCAAGAAGAAATATTAATGGAATAACAAGAAACAATAATGCGACAACAAAATGATATCGATATTAAGAACATTAACTATGTTAAATCCAAGATCTATTCTCGATAAAATTACTTGTAAAAATTTATTAAGTCTCACTTAAGAGATTTTATTCAAAGATTGTTGAAATGAAGCGAGACAAAAGACAGCTAGTGAGACTTGTTGGCAAAGCCACAGTAAAAAATACAACACGTAAAAGAAATGCCAATAGCATAGATAGACCAAATTTTATCGAAATGCTCCAAACAATAATGTAGCACCACAGGTACATTTGTCATTCTAATAAATTCACTTTATTGTAATTATCTTATTATCATGTTTGGTTTTTATAATATTCATTAGTTTAAAAAATATAGAGATATACAGATGATTTCTTATATATTTTAGAATATTTTTGATATTAAATATTATTGATACCGAGATAGATTTGACTTTCTCATTTCTATTCTATTTGTTTTTGAAATTATTGTGTCTTTTTTTCTTTGAAAAGATTGAATTTTTCAGTCTCTCTCTTTTTTTTAATAATTTAATTTTTACACTAAATTGATATCTTTGTTAAAATTTTTGTAAGTTTTAAAATTATCATTTGTGTATTTTGTTTCTTAAATAATAGGTCAGAAAATAATTAAATAATAGACTATCTGCAGTATAAAAAGTCTGAAAAATAAAGATATTTTAAAAAGTATATAGAACAGGCATTAAAAACTACAGAAGTGTATGTTTGAAGTTTATATACAACTGAAGTAAAAAAAAAATTAGAAAGTATTAGATATATATTTGAAATTTTCCAAGCTCTCTAGTCATTGTCCAATGCAACTAGATTATTCAATAGGAGAAACTGCAGAACAATTTATCATTCAATGTACATTTGTTAATAAAATATTAAATGGAAGCAACGAGAGACTATGAAAATAATTACATGTACAATGAAGCAAGAAAAATATCAATGAAGTATACTGAACGGACAAATGTTTAAAAAAATAAATAAAATTTAGATTGCTTGTAAAGTTATTCAAATTAGTGAGCTGAGACTGCGTTTTCATCGAGATATTTGTTTTTTGGTCTGTACGTACATGAAAAATTAAGTATATATACAAAAAGAATGATTTTCAAATATATGAATACAATATTATTTTTCAGGTGATGTACAAAGTAAGATTGTATGGAGTAAACAGTGGTAAGGAGTATTTTTGCATATGGATTATCTAAAAGTGGTTCTGATTGGAGAACTTTTCATTTTCTGAATGCATATATTGATAAAATAATAGTAATATTCTTGAGCTACATTTCTGCTTCTAATGTAATATGTACATTATTTATTAAAAGTATGAAATATATATAATATTCATGAATGAGTGAAAAGTAAAGTTTTATTTTTTTTTTATTTATAAGTTTATATAGAAAAAATTCACAAACTGCACTTATGCAGTTTTAATACATACTCTATACTTTTTCAGATTTTCTATACATTCTGCACATTACATAACAAAAATTTTGGAAAATCGAGTTTGCATCGATTATATGGACAACTGTGATATTTTTTTATGGACAATATTGAAATCAGCAAGAAGGAACTGATGTACAGAATTTTTATGTAAAATAATTACAGCATATCAACGGAATTCATCAGGAGACTATCGATGGTAACAATTAATTCGACATATGTTGTCTCATGGATGAGCAAATGTCAAATGTTGACATCTATCTGAAAAATTAATAATGATGAATTGAGAATACATCAAGCTTATTGGCTGTACATAAATAGTTTCAGTTGTTTGGCAGAAGAGGTGAATATATTAATTCATTTATTATTCACTTTTCAAATATTTTCACAATCTAATATTCACACAATCGAATATTTTCTACTTTGTTTCAATTTTTTCAGAATGTGTATGAAATAGTCTATACAAATGTCAACACTATGGAATTAATTCGAGTGCATTAAACGAGCTTAAAACAAATATTCAGCATTTACCTAAAACTGTGATTATCACATTATATTGTTAATGCTAGATGCAATATTATTTGATATTTTAGCTATAAAAAGAAACATATTATAATTATAAAATAATTTTATTTATCACACATAATAAATAAAATATATACATGATATTATAATAAAATACAATATTAATATATTAGTATCTTCTTTATAAGATAATTTTTGGCATTTTTTAATCATACAATTATATTTCTTAAATATAATAAATGCAAACAAAAATACCAGTGATTCAGGCGATATGATAATCAAATCATTTAAAAATGACACGGAACACACAGAACATGTTAATTAATACGAAAAATAACATTACGTTTTAAATGTATACATACATATATATATATTTTTTTTTTAAATTGTTGCATTGAATTGTCATTGAATTTAAATTATAAATATTCTAATTATCATTATAATTATCGAATATAACATTTCTTTCGGCTTTATATCTTTATAAATAATCATCTTTTGAAAATTTTTGTAGGAAATATTTATTTTATTAAAAATTATTATTAGTATTAATTAAATTTTGTGTCTCAACCGAATCGTACATAAAGTATCAAAGTAAAATATCTTATGAAATTATCGTACGAGTGTAAAATAAAATAATATTTACAATAAAAAATACATTTTTCTCATACATTATATTTTATTCGTATCATTTATATAAATATATGATGCTTTCTAGCAAGGACACAATCAAACATAGTGTAACACAGTGAAAGTCATTACAATCTTTATGTTTGTCTAAATTACGTCATTAAATGAAACGATTTATTGTATCACTATACAGTGTCTGATTGTGTCCTTACTGGAAAATACCCTATATCAATCTTTTCCATCATGTGACAAATTGATCATTTCAATTGATCAACAGCAGATTTTTGTATGATTACAAAAAAGATTTTATTGGGTAATAAGAGTATTCAAAGTTTAAATGTTTGAGCCACATGATTTTATTTGCAGTTCAGCTTTTCATTAAAAGAATATGTTATAGTTGGAAATAAATTGTACAATATAACTGTATGTAACACATTTCTTTGCTAGATTTAAGATTCCCATAAAAAAAACGCGCTATATTTTTGTTTATTTAATTTACTTATGTAGGATCCTTTTTTACGTAAATGCGAAATTGTTATAACATTTTATTAAAGCTTACGATAATTCGTAGAAATGTAGAATACGAAATGTTTATTTAATTGATTAATTATTATATTCCACATTTTCATTAAGTGTAATATAGATTGAATAAAATGTAAACAAAAGTTATTAGAGGTGACTCGATAACATAAAACATAAATAAGAAGAAGTATTTGTAATGACTATATTTTTAACGTTTATTATAGATATGTACGTAATATAAAGACATGGTGCAATCGCATTGATAACGCGTTTTTCGAACATAATTATCTTTGGCTTAAAAGTCTAGTATTGGATTAATAGATATAATTACATCAAAAATTGCTTATAATTATTGCACTCAAAGCCGTGTAAAGATAATGTAATAATTAAATTTTATAAAACCTTCATTGTTTTAATAAATATTGTGATATGTAATCTTTCGCATAGCAAAATAACTTATACTTAACTTTTTATGGTATATGAACATTATTGTACGACCCGGGAATGGTTATTTAATGATTTATTTATAAGCAGTTATTAATTGGAAATATTTAAGTTTTTTAATTATTTAAGTTTTTTTGTGCAATAAATATAACGAAAGCAATAATAAATGGGCTCTATATATTTTAATTTTTCGTTATGCAAAATAAGGCTGCAGTA